ACTTTCCTACCTCTCAACAGTCGGCATTCTTTTGGCAGATGTTCATTTACGACTATACCATTTTCCTGTTTGCGAAACTGACATGCATCAGAGAATAGCAAAATGTTCATATTTCTTCGATCATCTTGAAAAGCGTGAACATTTTCTCGATGACATTTGGTTCCTTGGCAAAGTCCATATTCACCTTTCAGGATATGCTTACCCCACAGTGTTGTCTATTAGGCACCCTCCCCCTTTTAATATCTCTGGGAACAACTCCATACTGTAAATTGTACAACGTATGTGGCTTTGACTACTCATGGTTGTGTTTAGCCAACACTGAACATTACGAGCGAGGCATTAAAATGTGGCGAGTCCAAAGAAGGACATAGAGCACTGATTCTCGGAATCCCAGAATTTAAAAAAAAAAAAAAATTTAAACTCGCCCCGTTAGAGAAAAGAAATATTCTTTAAATATTACAGGGATGGAAAAATAAAATCTTGAAGAGAAAGGAAGGGGGAAAACACTAGCACTTCATGACGTTCCTTACAAGATCTTTTTAATGTGGTGCATAATATTGCGTTTATAGGTGGTTTTATAAAAGCCATTTCCGTTTCAAAAATACGTTTTTTTACTTATGAATTTTATGTCAAACAAATTCCTTTTGGAAGAATTATATCTGCTCCAAATAACAACGTTTTAGTACAAATTTTGTTTGAGATATTCAGAAAAAAGCTTTTTTTTATCAACATGTACATCATTGTGGCTTGGACACTTCTTTTTCCTAATCCCTTTAATTTCTAGAAGAAGGTCATTTCTGCCAAATTAGAGAGAAAATGGCCGCCAAAGTTTGACGACCTGTGAAGGCACCTGGAAACAGCAAATTTACGTTCTTTTGTGTCTTTCATTAACGTTTTCAGTATAACCCAAACATAAACGTGTTTTTAAAAGAGCATGAAAAGGTGTTTGGAAAAAATAAAAGCTAAATGTTGCTCAACGAGCTGAACAATGTCGGTTTTTTTTTCTTTCTATTTCATCCTTTTAACGAGCGGTGGATTTCACCACGATGCAACACATATTTATGATGAATATGGCTTTGAGGTGTGATGAGACCATGAATCTTTTGTCCAGTTGTAAGTTCTAGAGAAAGAGAGGGAGGGAGGGAGGGAGAGAGAGGGAAGGAGACAGAGAGAGTGAGTGTGTGTGTGTGTGTGTGTGTGTGTG